GCAAACAAATAAACAAAGAAGCAAACAAACAAAAGTATAAAAAAAGAACAAACAAGAGAAAAACCCATAAATATACTCTAAAATACAAGCAAAAAACAGACAGAAACACAATAACCATTGCACTGAAATAATTTTAAACACTGCTCACTTTTATCATTTGGCGTAGATATTGCACTTGCTGTCTGGGTTTTGTAAGTAGGTGTCGCTCCCAATGGAGTAGGTTGTGTTGTGGAGGCAGCCGATTGTGTAGGTGTTGCAGGAGTGGAACCCAGATTTGTTTCGATACAGCGAGGTGGATAATAACCGTCCTTGCATCTTGGATTCCCTTTTGAGGCAAACAGTGATATTGACATAGATTGACCGCTGGCTCCTCGAGTATGTACCATAAACTACATGATAAAAGAACATACTCAAGTCCGTATCACTTTATCAGTAGGCTGTAAAGACATGATCTTGGAATAGATATCGTCTTTTATTGTGACATGTAACAAAACTGGAAGTTTGAGTTTTGAGTTCACCCAAGAAACGAGTCAAAGATGCTTTTTTCCACATTTAAGAAATCCTGTGTATTGAGGAAGGACTCATGGACCTGGACCCAATAAAATCTCCCCCTTCCATGTCTGTTGACAAGGCCTTTATTTATTTGAGCATTAGAAAATCGGCAAAATATCAATATTGCGAGAAACTTGTAAGGGGGTTGAAACGTGTAACACTATAACTATGCTCCAGAATCTTAAGATATGCATCTTAGGAGTTTTGATACCATATTTAAAATTATGAGTTTTGTTTCAAGATAGCCTCCACTTTCATACTTTTCAACTCCCATATGAGTTTCTGCTACTCAAGCTGCAATTTTTACATTTTGATTTAACAGTTCTCGAAACATTAGATTAAGACAATCAGATTTTCTTGATGTGGTGGCCTCTAGAAGGTTAGTGCAAGAGAAAATGAACTAAGAGAAGGAATCCCCGTGCCCCATCATGTGCACACTTTGATGCTATTTCTAGAATCAATGATGCTATTTTTAACTCTTTACCATGCCCGCGCGATAATCATGCTTCCCTTTAAATGCCTCGTTTTAGGACACGAAAAGCGCCTTATTTCGCTCCGTCCACGACAAAAACACAGGCTTTTGTTTACTGCAAGACTGGAAGCCGCCTACCCTCAAGAAGTCAACCAATCAGGTTCTTCGCTCAAAATATCTCAAGCTAAAAATAGCATCAAACTGTGCACATGATGGGTTACAAGACTATATGGGTAGGATTCCTTCTCTTAGTTCATATTCTCTTGGTTAGTGGTTATAATGATAATATTCCACTATAATTTGGGGCTGCTTGTTTCATTAGAAACATGCACAAAAAAACGTTTGCAGTTTGAATATATATTGGTTATCAGATTAACTTTATTGACAAGTGCATGCACTGGTTACCTACCTTTTCTGTACTCACACACATACATATATAGGTGTAAACAGTCGAGGTCTTTAAAGAGTCCTTGTGTTCCGGGTGGATAGTTCTTAGCCATAGCCACACATTCCCCATCACCGTTTGGTTCATGTACATCTCTTTGCCACTTGTTTATTGAAAGTATTCTGTCGTTCACCCATTTCCATTCTCCTCCTTCTTTTTTCAGGCCAATGTACCATTCATTGGGATACTTATTGATCCCTTGAATCTTTGAATTAATGAATTTCCATTTCTCTTCCGTTTCCATGGTTACCAAGTCACCCCCATATTTTCTACACTCACCTCGGCCCTCTCTCCAACCTAATTTATGTGTATTGAATGTGCAGCAAAAGCAATCTGTGAAATATAATAAAATGAAAGAGTAAGAACGTTAGTGACGATTGTGTTTCATCTACGCTTTAGAGTGACCACTCTAATTACTAAATAGTACAAAATAGTGCTAGTTAAACAATAGAAAACAATGGAATTTGCATGAAATCGTGCTATTTAGTATTACTAAAGTTTCACGGATTTACTGTGGTCCTTCTATTAAATGACGTCTTTGGTCTTTTGCTTTCGGACTGATCGCACTGAAAACAATGCGCCGTGACTCTCTCGATTTGGGGAGGAACGGTCCTTTTCTGGAAATAGACAGGATGTTTTGTTTATAATGAAAAGGTGGTTTAAGAGTCATTGAGGCAATACTACATTTTCGGAAGAATTTAAAGTTATATTTATTTTTATTGTGTTACAGCTCACATTAATCATATACTAGTTGCACCACTGTTTTCATTGCTACGCGCTCATCGAGCCCTTAAAACTTGTAAAATCCACGACGGCAACGTCAAACGGAAGTGTAAATCATTTCTCTTTGGGGTTCTATTCATTGGAGATTTCATTCAAAACATTGTCGTTAAAGTTAACTCATCCATAGGGAAGACAGACTTTGATGGCGCGAAACCCCAATATGAAGTTGTTTACACTTCCGGTTGACGTCGCCGTCGACATGAACATGGAAATCGGAAAATAGACTACCGTCAATAAATGTTTAAATTAATCGTTAGAGCAGTTTGCCATGTACCTTCTTACGGTCCCTATGTACCTTTATGTACTTTAATGTTTGATTTTATTTACGGAAGTGTATTCGGCCCGATTTCTAAGTCACGACTATTATCTTATAAAAGGGAAGTACAAGGAATTGGGATATGTTTTACCTTTCTTTAGGATGTAAAAACATAGTAAAAGTAAATAATACGAAAACTAATGTCGACATATTAAATAGGGTATCAAAAGCACTTTTTTGATGTGAAACATCTATGTTAGTAAGGCCATACCGAATTTGAAATCATATTGATTTCTAACACAACATGAGTGCGCAATAAACATCATAATTGACAGATAGCGTTGACAATTTGAAGTATCTACTTACCTGTCGTACAAGAGGTAAGCCACAATATCCTAAAAAACATCAAAATCTGGAAAGACAGTTTTAGTAACGCAAATGCCATATCTCCTGGACTTGGATGGTGAGAATACCACAAGGAAACAATATGACAGGATCTTCTTTTCTTTTCTTGTTGAAGCAATCTGCTGATAAGAATGGATTATGGGATTTTTCTTCGAAACAAACCTTTCGCTCTCGGTTTTTTGTTTTCTATTTTCGATTAAGCTTTG